AAAAAAAAAAAAAAAAAAAAAAAAAAGATCAGGTGGCTGATTAGATAGCTCGAAAAAGCTGCCTGACGTTGACTCCGGTAAAATTTACGCCCTACTTCCAGAGAGGTATAGTGTCAGTGGTATTTTCTGTCGGTGAAATTGTGGCCGGCGGCGTGACAATTGACAATTAGACGGGGCAATCATGGGGGGAAGATGGGAAGATGATTGTGGGGTGGGATGAGTTTGGTGTTGTTGGGATTGGGACAGGCTTTGCAGTAAGGGCTTACTCTCTGTGCGCTGATCTCGGTTCGTCCTCGCTTCAGCAGCCCTCCACGTGTATCAGTCTTCGCTGTGGCCCTCCAATCTTCTCCATTGCCGGAGCTCCACCGCTGCCGCGTACGTCCTTCCCCACTTTCTCCTGCGTTCTCCAGTTGCAGAAAGCCCAGCTGTAGTAGCCTGTCCTCCCCGTCCACCACCACGCTGGTCTGTAATTTTCGGGGATTGTTGTTGTCGTCCTCTGTGATCTGTAGTCGATATGTTGTCGTCTCTGTTTGCACTCTGATTGTTTTCCTATGTCACCTTTCTCAGCCGAGATCATCCTTCACCCAATCTGCAAGTGAAATCTGACAGTACCTGTCTCGGCCTTTTTTTTTTTTTTTTTTTTTTTTTTTTTTTTTTTTTGGCAATGGCCTTGAGATATCATCTTTAAAGTTTGAACTGACTGGCCCCAGGTAAATTCAGGGTTAAATCACCAGTACCTCTCCCACACATCGGCCGCGAGCCCCTCACCACGACTTTTGGAGGTCCGAAATGCGACAACAGCTGCAGTATCAACAGCAGCCCGACCCCAAAAGTTGTGGCTGTTGCATCTCTGAAAAATAGCTGGGAAGGGTACTGGTGGTTTAATTTCACTCATCTGGTTCCATCCAGGTTCGAACTCAGGTCTGCATTTCAACAGCTTACGGGTGTACCAGTTGAGCTGGCCCAGTCTCGTCATTTTGGTTAAGATCAAGCATGATATCTCGGAGTGCTGTCCTCTAAGCCACCAGTACCTCCGAGCCTTTTTTTCCCGACTGAGATTCCCTGTGTGTGCCAGTCGTCGAAGTCCCGCAGCACTGTTCATCGGTTGTATATGAACTAGTCGGAAACCTTTGCCTATGAAAGATACCGATGGATTAAAAAATAACAATAACAATGGTTGAGAGAAAAGGAGAAAGGAAGAAGAAAAAGAAAGGAGCAGCGGGGCAGAGAGTGGTGTTTGTGCATCCAAGATCATTATCAGCATCGCGGGAAAGATGCCGCAAGCAAAAATAACAACAGCATCTGCGCAGTGGGGGGGAATTACTAGCTTGTGGGGGATGGCGAGGTGGGGTTTGAGGTTGAAGGTGCGACTCACCGTTCCCCCCCATCCCTACCCGGTGTTTTTTCATGTTGATTCGTGTCTCCTTTTCTGGCACTGGGTGGGGGTAGGATAGATGATCTCCTCCTCGTTGATTAGGGTTGATCGGCTCTCATCTCTCAAGCCCTCAACTCTTAATCATGGAGGGGTGTCGCTTCGCCCCATGAGGAGTTTTGATGATTATGTTTTGATTTTTGGTTAATTCCTTGATTGGGGTGATCTACGTAGAATCGTAGATGCTTCTCGGTAGTATTTCGGTGGGATAACACTTAATGGGCAGGAGGTTAACCCTTCCCTTGCATAGGGAAGTGATCATTGCCTCTGCTCTTGCGGGGCGATTTCATTCAGAGTGATTGTGTGTGCGCTGTGACATCTCTGCACATAATTGTATAGGGGATAAATGCTTCATGAGCAGGAGGTCAATCCTTCCCCTGCGTAGGGAAGTAATTAATGCCTCTGCTCTTTTCGGTGATACAGGTGAGCTACGGACATATACAGGCTGACTTCACACATCATTGTATAGGGATGCTGGACCCGATTTCCAGCTCACACACAGTACACCAGTACTAGGGTCTTGCTTCTTGGTTTGATTGACAGGATTGAGCTCGATCCCTTGCTCGCTAGGGAGATACGGTAGATTAGGCAGATAGGGTTCTCCCCTCATGAACACGGATCACATCTGTGTTAGGGTTTCGGTTTCCCTTCATGGGACATGTATTGATTGATGAGCAAATACAGACAGTACTGGATACACAGTAGGGGATACAGACACATATCGATGTATAGGGATGCTGGCCCCTATTTCCAGCTGACACACATCAGATCTTTGTACAGGGACGTTGGACCCAATTTCCAGCAGGTGCAGCTCCCCACCAATAGATGGAGCCTTCGACGCTGGGTCCTACTTATCGGGGATGCTCTTATCACCTCGTTAAGTAGGTTTCCCGTATACGAAGTTAAAAAAAAAAAAAAAAACTTTTAAAAAGTTAAAAAACTTTAAAAAAGAGTGATTGACATGCTCATTTGATCTTCTCAGCTCTGGTTCTCATTTTCCTTTTATTTTCTGTTGTGTGGAAAACAGGAGGTGGCACAGAAGGTGTTTGCTGCACTGAATGCAACCGGCTATGGACGGCTGGATGTGCGGGGAGACAAGGATGACAATCTGTACTTGCTTGAGATAAACCCTAACTGTGGTGTTTTCTACCCCCCAGATGCAATGGGAAGCGCAGACTTCATTTTGAGTTTAGACCCATCGACAGATCACAGTCAGTTTGCACGGCACATCATCAGATGTGCTCTTGTACGACAGCGAGACAAGGTTTGGAAAAAGAAGATATCCCCTCAATACAACAAGGCCAAGCATTGGTTTGGGATGTATGCATTGCGAGACATAGCTGAGGGTGAGATTGTGGATGAAAACGAGGGAAAGCCACATTGTATTGTGAGTAGAGAGCATGCGATGGGTAACTGGAGTGAGGATGAGAAGGATTGGTTCCAGCGATACGCATATCCATTGGGCTATGACATCTGGGTAACCTGGAGCAAAGTACCGGAGGAGTGGAAACCTCTGAACCACTCCTGTGATCCTAACACGTGGCTTGTTGGGCTGAACACCGTAGCCCGGAGGCCAATAAAGAGAGGGGAAGAAATCACGATCGACTACGCAACATTTTCTGTCAATTGTGCTGAATTTGTGTGTTCTTGTGGAGCAGCATGCTGCCGTGGTGTAATCACAGGTGCCGATTACCTAGCTCCTTGGTTGGAGTCCAAATATGCAAATCACATTTCGTCTTGTGTCCAAAAGCTCCGCCAAAAGGCCGGCGTATGCCTGGCATACAGGCAACAGCAACAACAGCAGCAGCAGCAGCAGCAGCAGCAGCACCCAGTGGGAGGCTCTGATCATGGCAAGGTGGAGCCAACCTTAATATTAAAGCCTGAGGCTAAAATGCCAGCCCATAGCCAACCACTGAAGGGAGAGTTTTTTGACAACGTTGACGATTCACTGCAAGTCAGCATGTGAAACAACTAGTCCACGATCGACGACCCTGAACGGGAATTTTCCACATCGCCAGTGGCAAGACCCCACTTGCCAGGATTCTTCGTCTCTTGTCAATGGCCAGAGCTAGACATCGAGCTGGATATGGAGAACAGCCGTCGGTCGGACCTCGTCCCCGGAATTCTCTCCCAAATCCCCCTCTCACCTTGAAACCTTGCATATTAGGGCACTACTTGTGGATGGTGTTGCCCTTAGGGAGAGCCGCACAAAGCCATAACAACTCATCATCCTATGCTGTGGTGTTTGGTGCAACAAGCCCTGGGACCGTGACAGACCAAGATGCTGTGGTATTTGGTGCAGCAGCCCTTGGGATCCCGAAATGCCAGCATGTTCACCATTGACCAGGAGCTTAAACCACCAGAACATGCCAGCCATCGGCCGCGGGCCCCTTTCGGAGGCCGCCCACCGTTGATATACTTTAGCGATGGCGTGTGAACCTCCTAAATTTTAGGAGAGGGCCGAAAGGCTGAATTGGACTCTTAACTTGACTGGGGCCATGTACTGGTGCCCTAAGTGACAGTTCTTGATCACCGCGGATGACAAGTCTATGCAGAGACAGCTAGATAGATAGATAGATAGATAGATAGATAGATGGAGAGAGAGAGAGAGAGAGAGAGAGAGAGAGAGAGAGAGAGAGAGAGAGAGAG